AAATCCGTATTTCTCCCCTCTCCGGTGAAGTGAGGGAATGATGCACGACCATTCAAAAATATGACTGGGCTTCTAATGATACAAAGCTTAATGCAAATGGGCGAAGTGTCCCTTTAAGGTAAAAATTTAATAAATGTAATAAAAAATAAAGGACCTACATCTGACCCTGTGGGGTGCAGCACCTTAAAAATTGGGCTGCCCTTTACTTGTGCATTGCAACTTTACGCCCCCACAAGAAGAACAATTGCTGCCCTCTACAAATAATTTGTTTTATTAGTGTTTTATGATGTATTCTACCCACAGACCACTGGGAGCAGTACATTGCTGCAGTAGCAGGTTTACTGCAGAGGAGGTGGGAGCGACTCAGTGAGCCCCTGGTGAGAGAGGTCCAGCTTGAGAATGTGTGGGTCAGCCTAAGAACAGCGAACAGAGGCAGGGAAAGACCTGATCAAACCCCTGGATCAGCAGACAGAGGAGGTAGAACACCAGGTTAGAATTCAGTCCTCTTACTGTACACCTAGAATTTGCAAAATGTATGTGGATGGTTTAAGTATGAAGGATTTTCTAGATGTACTGATACTAATGTCTAAATGTGGTACAATTACACAAAACATTACACTAAAAGGGGGAAAATATTCAAAATCACAGTCATACTTTTATTTTTTCAGAATTAAAGCCATCTGCTCATTAACTCAACATTTTCTCTCAACAAACTCAGAGCCGGACGTGGATTATGGGTCTTTTGAGTCCAGAGTGACATTGGAGACCTTCCTCCAGGGATGTGCAGGAAAGGTGACAGTTCTCGTTGGCCAGTCTGGATCAGGAAAAACTCTGCTGATGTCTCGTTTAGGACAGCAGTGGGCACGTGGACTAGTAAGTTTACATTGTCATCATTAAATATCATGCATGTTCTGTGCCAATCTGCTAGATTGGTCGGGGCTGATCAAATTCTTCTTCTTCTTAATATTATTAATTATTATTACTAAGAGGGGTTTTCCACAAGAAGTACCAAACTTTCTAAAAACGATTCTCTGATGTTTGGGCCATATAATAAAAGATCAAACATCTCTAATCCATTGTGAACTGAACGTTACAAGTCAGGAAGGCAACATGCGTCACCTGGGAACAATTTCTAACACACAGCATTGTGAGCAACTGAACTGTGAAGCAACACAAATCAGACCTCTGCTCCTCATCTGTGCTTGAGGCTAGATGCTCAACCACCATACTACCAGCAGAACACACTTTAATCTCCGACCAAACTGTCTGCGGTCTGGTTGCATTATGGGTAATGTAGATGCTGGGTTTTGACAATGAAGAAGAATGTGTGGAATGAAAAAGAGGAAATGTCTGCATGATAAACATGCTGACAGTGCGCATAAAAAAACAAAGCCATCAGAGCCTCTTGTTTTGTTGATGCTGGGGATGAAAACCGGACCAAATACTTTCCAAACTTTCAAAAAGCCACACATTTAAAGGCTTGGTTTATTCTCTCATTTTGTCTCTCCCTCACTCTCTCTATTTCTGTTCCTTTCCCCTATCATCCAGGGCCCTATCCCTTCATCCTACCTGTTTGTACTGCTAGAGTTTCGTCAGCTCAACTTATTGTCCTGCCCTCTCTCCCTGTCTGAGTTGCTGTTCCGACAATATCTCCCTCCAGGGAGCGACCACAAAAAGGTATGCAGGTGGCAATACTAGATCAGTATCTTTATAAATCAGTACCTTTATAAAACAGGACCTTTCTGATGTGAAATGAGCAGCAGTAAAGCAGCACAACCAAAAAAAATCTGTTTTCTTTATGTTATAATAATACATTGTGAAGAAATGGGTTGTCGTGCTTACAATAATATGGGTTGTCCATTAGTAGTACGGTCAGAGGACTCAATATGTCCACCAGTTAAAGGCTGTATTTTTGCTGTTCCTGGAAATATTTATCAAAATGGCATTTTGGGGTATTATTAAACACACTTAAATGTTTTTAAAAATTGTAATAAACAAATCATAGCCACCAGTGAACATTACTAATACATTTTCTCTGTCATTCTTTCATTGTACATATATTCTGTGTTTTGAGCAGAGAGCCATTGTGGATTACCTCCTTACCAATCCAGAGCAAATCTGTTGGGTGCTCGATGGCTATGATGAGTTTCACAGCAAACTCACCAGACAAAAGAAAGAGCAGAGAGCGCTATTGGACCCAGAAAAGCCTCTGCCTGTCGCAGACCTCATCTCTGCGTTGTTAAATCGCCAGCTTCTTCCAGGATGTACTGTGGTGGTCACCTGTCGTGCTCGAGATGTCATTGATTTGGAAGGCGTGTCAGATAAAGTGGGGCAGCTGCTGGGGTGGGACTGCCATGAGATCAAGGAGTATGTGCACAACTTCTTTTTAAAAGGTGAAAACATGCTTAAATATATTTACAGTGTGATATTTGTTATTCTGCATAGTTAGCTCTGCATTCACTTGGCAATAGACCAATAGACCTTTTTCACAGCAGCCATTTTGACAAGCCACACAGGGGTAAACACAGGTTTTACCAAGGATACTAATTAAGCTTCCATGAGTATACTGAACAGATAATGTACTTTTTACAAAAATGAGTACCATCAGAGTAAAATGTGTCAGTATCTGTACTCGTAAACAGCTTTTATATATATATCAAAAACATGTTCTGTAAATAGTTCTCTTACTCTTGTGATCAAAAACATTGCTCTGAAGCTCAATTCTGAGGCTGTTCTGTTATAAATACAGCAACGTTTGATCAACCCAACAGATACAGATACAGATAATGGCATACTTTCTCATCCCTAGACAACATGCAGAAAAGCAGTCCCCTGACTGTAGAACAGAACCTTATGCATGATTGTGCAGGATCCTGTGTTTTTGGAGCTTGAACCATATTTCAAGCAAATCTTGGACTGATTTTGACCATGCAAGTCACTCAGTAAATTTATTTGCTAGCGGACCCCTTTAAGACTCCCGTGGGTAGAAGATCCATCTTTAGATCTTTTGCATAATTATAGCATAATTGTAGTTAGGTTATCAGAATACAAAAAAGCTAGCTCTGAAGCAATTCACTTGGTTATGAAATAGAATTTCCTCATGTGCATTTTGAACTTGACCTTGCACACCCATGTGTGTGTTTTAATTTATTCTAGCTAACCTCTGCTCAGCTTGAAATTGAGCTGAGCTCTGCTGGGTATTACATAAGATCACTGAACTTAATGCAATAAAAAGAAACATAACAGTTGCAACAAAACTAACAGGAGAGCCAGAGTGATATCAATCAACCTCAGTCTGAACTCACCCACAAGTCTACACAGGCAAAATTAGGGAAAAATACTGTGTGGGTCTACCTTACGTTTTTGTGGTTTTAAAACTACTACTTTATGTCTCAACTGCAAAGGTAACTCAGCCAGTGGATCTCTTGGAGTGCAGGCAGCGGACCTCCTTCTTACAACACGACACTTCCTTGCCATGTCGTCCCTCCCTGCACTCTGCAACATCTGCTGCATCTGCCTGGAGCATTTACTGGGAGGGAGAGACACAGGTGAAAAAGTGAGAGAAAAAGAAGAAAAAAGAGTACAGGTGGCAGGAGGAAGAGGAGAAGAGGACAGTAAAGGAGAGAATCATGCACAAACGGTACATCAAGGAGGAAGAAGAAGAGGGAGTGAAGATGTAACAAATGGTAGAACTCAGCTACTTGCTACACAAGCCCAAATACCCTCCACCCTTACACAGGTCTACCTCACTGTTATTGGTGCATTCTTGAGCCGTGACCCTGACAAAAGAGGAAGCAATGACATGCCAAAGACACCGCCACAGAGGTGAAGGCTGAGTAGAGTACCAAACACAACACCATTTTACACCTCTGACACAACATTCATAACGTATAGTTTTACTTTCAGTACATTTTGATTGTACTGAATTCAGAGGACTACTAGCTGTTCAATGCAGTTTACTATTTTACTCAAAGGGAGAAATGAAACCCTCTTGAAAGAGTTGTAAGGTGTTTCAATTTAGTTTCACATGACCAATGAGGACCAATTGATTAAATACAAATGAATGAATTTGTTTTCTGTCCCTCGCTGCAGTACTGTGTACATGCTGAGTCAGTATCGATCTGAGCTGTGTGAGCTGAGTCAGCTGGCCTGGAAAGGCTTAGAGGAAAGCAAGATCCTCTTCATGGAAGAAGACATTCCTCAGGATGTTTTGAAGTTTTCAATCAGGACGAGACTCCTCTCACAGGTCAGACATGGTTGTCCAGTATGTGTGAATGAGCTCTACATGTCTGTGGGCAACTTTTGGCATGCCTTCTTTGAGCCATAACTTGGTTTGCTCAGTGTGCCAAACTAAGAATTTAGACCTCTTGTTTGCCTGTAATTACTACATCTCCACAAGAGCCCTTTGGATTGCATTGGTATTGTGGGCAAACTAGTTAAGTTACATTGACCCTCCTCTGCCAAAAATGCCTATAGCTGGAATATTTGCACTATTCTGTAGCATTAACAACTATAATCAGTTCCTCTATGGACGTGGAGCAAGTGGCTACTATATAACAAGAGCAGAGTAGTAAAAGGTGAAGTTAATTGTGATGCCATGTTTGAGTTATGTTGGTGGCAGCTCGTCATCTGAGCACCTCACTGTGGTTGCTTCTTTATATTTAAAACCAACTTGACCCACAATGAGAAAATGGAGAGGCCGATACCTGTTAAGCTGGAGATATATGTGCACAACCAACAGTGCAAATGGACACAGCACACTACGAGCTTTATCTCTGGCCTTAGATGACATTAAGAACAGCAGTATAAGAGTGGAAGAAATTGTATTGTCTGATTGTTGATGAGTATTCATAGACTGATTGTCAGATGGAGATTAGTCAGAGGCTAAGCCCTTTATTATATGGCCTGGCTCCTTCAAATGAACCTTTGTTCCTTTCTATAAATGACTCCCTCCTTCACTTCGATATTAAAACAAGGACTTATTGTTGTAATTCATGTTTCAAAATTCAGATGCAAATATGACCTATGGCAATGTTGACATTCATGGTCTTTGGTTCTTTGGTTTAATATATTCACCTCTCTGATTGCACATTGGCACCTAAAAAACTATGTAATACTGCTGCAAACATATCTTAACACTCTCGTGCTCACAAAATGATAAACCTTTACACATACTGTACCAACTTTACCCTGACATCACTCTCTGGCCAATTTTTACATTAATGTATCTGAAGACTGTTGTTAGTGGCATAATAAATACCACGTTTGTCCATATCTTCCTGTCAGATGGAGATCAGACGTGAGGACGGGACACCTGTCAACTCCTACTGCTTCATTCATCTGACGATACAGGAGTTTTTGGCTGCGCTCAGGATTATGACCAGTCAGGATGTTAGTGACACTCAGCTCAGGAAGAGGTAAGGAAATGAATTCAGAGAAGCCAAACGGAACTGGAAATGACCATGGTTATATTTCTCAGGGCAATTGCAGTCTTCCTCTATGAAGCTGTCGATCAAGTGGCCTCCCTGAAGGTGAAAAGTTGGCACTATTTAATGGCAGTCATAGTATCCATTGCACTCAGTCGTGTAGATGGAATCAGTTATAATTACATTTAACTATAGCTTTTTTATACTTTATGCTACATTAGTACACAATTACAGTCATTTTTAAGTATTTAGTTTGTGCCTATTGACACTGTCAACAGGCACAAGTAATGAATGTAGGAGAGAGAGAGAGAGAGAGAGAGAGAGAGAGAGAGAGATGTATGTTTACAGTGCTACATGTACTATGACTGTGACCCAGTTTTCTGAATACCAACACCTACACTGCCTTATTAGAATGAAACCATCTGTTTTGCACCTATTCAACCCCACACATGTATGACTGTATGGTCTGTGTTTGCCACAAAAATGTACCACAAAGCTCAGATTAACAATAGACGTTGTGGAAGTGCTCTGAGACCTAAATACAGAGACCTAAGCTTGGAAAATCATCTTAAGGATTGTACGTTAACTTTACCTTAAAGCTTTAAGGTACAGTGTGTAACATTTAGGCGAGGAATCCTATTGGCAGCATAGAATATAAATATTTATAGGTAATTTACAGTTACATTACCTCCACAAGAGTAATGCCAAAATGCTGAACGCGCCTTGTTTGCTAGGCCCAGAACTTGACAATGAAAAACTGTCTCTATAAGGGCCTTTACTTCTTTTTAAAGTTTAAGTTTCGCAGGTTTCGACAGCCATAAAAATACACGCTTGGAAAGGGGGGAGGATGTGGCGAGGGGTAATCATTTGGTTGCAATAACAGCAAGTGACAAGTATGTCAAGTATCAATCGTAAAAAGGATTCAAGGTATAGAAATGAAAAGTAGTCTCTAATCAGAAAAAATTGGCTGTGACTGCTAATACTTATATATTAGATTATCATTACTGATGGATTAAATGTTAAGACATTTTTTGTTGTAGTTGGTTTGAGGTGGAGCTCATTTCGACTATTTTGGTATAGATGCAATTATTTTATATTTTCTCATTATGACTTTATCTACTGGTTGTTATTCTCATTAAATTGATTTAATTTAATCAAATTTGATTTTTGCACAACACTTATAGATAATAATCAATCGCCAATTAAAATAAACGTGTAGTTGCAGTACTAAAGGAAGTACAAGAATGGTCCAATCCAGCAGTGGGTGGCTCAGGGTGTAGCAGAGAGGGATTAGGTGGGACATACAGTGAGAATGACAAAGGAGGTTTATGTACTGCCACATTTAGGGCAGGGCAATTCATTAAATTTTTTTTCCAATTAAATTTGACTTCAACGATTATGGAAACCGTTTTTATTCAGCAAATTGTAGATATGAGATAAAAAAATGATTGTGCTGCATCCATGTTCACAATGATGCTCCTTATTTTGTTTGTGTTATAAACCAGCAACACCTCCTAAAAGCCCCAAACTCAAATCTCAGGTTACTCACTCGCATGTTTAGTTCAGCTTGAGCCAAGACATTTGTTTTCCGTTGAATTGACAATACTGTTAAAAAAGATTCTTTTCTGAAAGGTAGTGAATGAATGTTTCCAAGTATCAGTAAATTGTGTTAAAATTCAGTTAATTGACGGCAAAAATTAGCGCACAAATAATTTTCCTTGTAGAGGGAATGCTGCTATGTCAGCCCAGTCAACTGGGTCGCCTCAATATAAGAAAACCGCAGTGTGTGTGTGTCATGTTAATTAACGACCTTTTATTTTACTGTAAAAAGCTATAAAACCCTGTTTACACCCCTATAAGTACTGGCAGCGTTAATGAAATGTAGTGGAAGACCAGATTGCCATATATAACTGCCACTCCGAAGGTTTTTGAGTCCTGTCCAGGTTTTTTTTGACCTGTCAATAAAGCCCTGTTTTATGCTAAAATTGCAACCATGGGCAAGTGCAGGGATTTTTCGCTAAATCCAATCAGGCTGCCAAAAAGCAGTTAAGAACTGGCAGTCCCCAGCTGGCCTTGTATCCTAACTGACTGTGGCATTTCATACAAGGTTTGTGTCATAGTGAGTCCTCCCACCAGCTGTGAAAAACTAAGCGGGCTTCGTATGCGCGGCTCTGAAAGCATCAATGGTTACATCGCCATCGCAAATAACAACCCGATCTCTCTGATGATCACCAAAAAGCAGGTGGTGTGAGTTATTCTTTCTTGGCAAGCGGAGAGGCCTAGGAAAGTGTCCTTTATAGAGCAGCAAAATATAAACTTACATGCCAAGTAAAATATTGACTTTGGCTCCTAATCCCTCTTCCTTATTGCTCTCTCAAAGAATTGCCAAGTCTGAAAAAAACTCGCTGGAGTGAGCCAAGTCAGACCCAAGAGGACAAGTTTTTACTGACTCCCTGTAACGCTGTATCGTATGTTGGGCGCTGGCCTTCCCCAGCACTGGCACTCACAGCAAAACTTAGTACACATTAGCCAGGACGTCTGGCGGAACGAGGAAGCCCAAAAATTGGGTCAAAAACAGACAAGCCCATCGTTCTGAAAACTGGCTAAAAAAAAATTCTGTGTCACAAGCAACACTCTGACTGGACCAAAGGTAGAACATGAGGATGGAGTGATTCCTGATAGAA